CCATGCTTCCAGCTCCGCCGGGAGGGCCGCCGGCCCCCGCGGCCCTGCTGACCGTGACTGCAGGTAGGGGACGTGCGTGAACCAGGGGTGGGAGGAGCAGCTGGGCTAGACCCACATGGTGGACAGGTGGGGACAGACAGCTGAGGCTGCCGGACACTTCTGGCCACCCGAAGGCTGTCCCTGGGCAAGGCAGGGAGTTCAGGGGGGATGTACAACATCGAGAGACTGGGGGGGAGGGGTCAGGAAACCATGGGAGATGTGCTGTTAGGAGCTCCCACAGTGCCTGGATGAGCATGGGGTGCTGAGCACACGTGGCAGGAACCTGCCTTTTCTGTCGAGCTGAGCAGACCTTTGCCTGCCGTCAAATGGAAAAATCCCCTCCAAATACTTAATTTAACTGACATAAAAGCGGAGCTGGAGGCTAGAAACATCTCTAGAAACAGACTTGGGACGTTGAACTTGCTGCTGTCCCCCTGTCGCGGTCCCTTGCTGTAAGCGTTCTGTTTTAGTTGCAGCAGTGCCCCTCTACGGATATGGAGCAAGGGAGAACGACCGCGAGTACGTGGAAAGGAGAGTGGATTTTAATTCTCCACTTTTCAAGCCTGAGACTGGATTCCCTTTCGGGAAAAGCCTGCGTGATTCTCTCTATGTGAGTCTCATTTGTTTGACTTGCTGGTGTGTAGGTGGCCATCCCCCGAAAGCCTGGGGGAGAGAACAGGAGCTGGGGACTTAGGGTGAGACCCTCGGAGAGGTGAATTGAGCTAGATGCTTTCAGTGCCTGTTTGCAGTGGGAGGTGACTTTGTGGCTGTTTCGGTGGGGTCTGGCAGTAGCCTTCCTCCAGTTTTGTTCTCAGAAATGGGAGGGCTGTCAAACGCCTGCTGGCTGTCACCATCAGAGATGCTGGGGCTTTTCCCATGGCCATTTTTTAAGGTGATTTCCAGTGTCTGATTTGGTAGAGCCCATTAGAGAGTTTAACTGAAAGCTTTAATCTTTTCTCCTGTGTTGTGGTTTCCAATAGCACCACAGGTTACTGCTTTGTTCCCAGCCTTTTCAGGTCAGTGTGAGGTCCTGGTGGTCCCACCATGCTGCCTTTGGCATCAGGGCCTGGCACAAACCAACATACATCTGGCAATACAAGCCAGGCCTGCAAATGTCTGAGCAGCTTGTCCTGCCAGTCTTGACTTTGCCTGTCAGGCGTAGGACCTGATGGATGGATCATTGTGTTTAGTTCACAGACAACGGACAAATAATTTTCCCAGCCTCGGACAAGAACATCTTCTCATACCCCAACCCACCTCCCGGTGGGTTTAATGGCCGTGAGAAGATTCCCATGATTGCCGTGTTTTGGGACAATGCCGACTTCTCCAGAGGGGTCGGCACCACATTTTACCAGGTCAGTGAAGCTACCCATGTGCTAGACTGGGTTGTACTGAGGGCTTTTTGCATTAAGCACCTTTAGACGATAAATTCATTACATGTTTTTGGATGCCCCTTGGGATGCATAAGCAGCTGAGCCAATGAGTGGCATTCCTCCTGTCTGGGCCAGATCTGAGAACAGAAAGGCTCTGCCCTCTCAGGCTCATTCAAGCCCTTAGCCATGGGGTAGAGCATCCGGGCTGTTGCTGTTCCCTTCACAGGTCAAATATAGATGTCTTTGCTTTATTGGGAGATAATGTCCATGTGCATGTGCCAAATCTGCAGGAGTTCTTCACCCTGAACTCTGCCAAGCCTCCCTTTATCCGCGATGTGGAAGCCAAGATTCGGCGGTACATGAAAACCTCGTACTCGGCAGCCTGGACCCTGAAGGTCACCTGGGAGAAGGCTCCTGCCCACACAGCACAGACTGACACCAGGAGGGTGAGGGACTGCGGGAGCTTAGGGGATTGCCATCAAATTTGGCTCTGTGTGTGAGTGCGAGGGGGTTCTGAGACAGATCCCCTGTTCTGATGCCCTGGTGGGATTCTCCTGCCAGACAGCTGAGCTGATTCCTGAGAATTCTTGGGAGCATTTAAGAGGAAGGGATGGACAAACCGAGTGGTAAGCTCGTGGCGCTGGTGCAGAGTTTGCCTTGTTTCTAGTGTTGGCACCCAGAGCTACTGCAAGCCTTCTTGCTACTTCCGCTTTTTTTCCCAGAGATTTCTGCTGGCCCATGGGCACTCACATTGTCTGTATCTGAAAATAAGAAACCAATTTTGTGCAAAAGGCTAGTATTGGTAAGCTTTTTGGCAAAAAGCAATGGGCTACACCTATATTTGGTGACTTGTAGGCTTTTTGGGGGAACACTTTTAGTTGCACTCCCTCTGCTCCCTAAAATCTTTGCATTTAACATGAGGCTAGTTTATTGTGTACCAGAAATGCTATTTTTTCAGTTACAAAAACTTCCCGACTTTGAGGCTTCTCATAAAACAACATCGAAGTAAAAATGTCGTGCTTGTCACACAAAATGCAAAACAACCCGGACTTGCATTTGCCTTGCACGTTAGGAATTAAGCCCCTCTGTTTCCCACCATCTGCAGCAAGCACTGGCCTGTATCCCTAGTTTTAAACCAAGCAAACTTGGTTTCTTAGCCGACTGCTGTGTGTCTCCACAGACAAACACATACCAGGCCGTCCTCACCACTGACGGATTCAGATCCTATCTCCTGATTCTGTACCAAGATGGAGGCATGAAATGGGATTACACCCAACTTGCTGCTACGAATGTGCTGATCGGCTATTCCAGGTAATTGCTCGTGGCTCAGAGGAGCCATACTGGTGGTTTCCCTGCTCCGTCGCCTACCGCTGTCGCCTTCGAGCACTGTGCTGTGCCGAACTGCAGGCTCCGGCTGGTTTAATCCTTCCCCACCAAAGTGCCCTGGATGGACGAGGCAGCCCAGCTGAGGTCTGCCCGCCCGTGCGGCATAACCGCCCTGTATGTGGGTATTTGCCCCATTAGTTGGATCACACTGCAAAACCGTTATCTGCTGGGCTGTGCTTAACGATAAGATCTGCACATCCCTGTATAGTCAAGCGACTGGCCCTGCCTTGGCAGTCTGGGTATTAGAAGTGGGGAATAGGTGGTGTTTAATGAACTTTGCACTGCTCAGGGAAGGGATTTCCGGTTGCTTGGCTCGAGCAGTCATTTCCTGACCCGTTACATTATACCTCGCTCTGTGCAGGGGCTTCACAGACCGGCAGCCTCCAGGATCTGCTTATTAGTGGTTTTCAACTGCTGGGTAAAGAAAAGGCTCACGGGGTGAGGAGCACAGTGCACACATGCTTGTGCGTGGGAGTGCTCACACTGCGTGAGCTGCGAAACCCCTGTAAACCCTTCTCCCCGATGGCCTTGAGCCTCAGCAGCACCCAAAACTAAATGCACCCTGTGGAAGGGAAGCAGCGGGCTGGCGGCGGAGGGGCGGCCAAGGGACGGGCTGAGGCCGGGCAGAGTCCGACCCGCCACAGGAAATGCGATCTCTGACTTATTGATTTCTCTTCTCTCTGCATGCAGCGGGGATGGATTCTACCACAACGATGATCTCACTCAAAGACCTCCGGCTGCTAAATATCGCCCTGACCAGTTCAGAGGCTACAACACAGGTAGAGACGTGCAGGCCGGGAGCTGGGGAAGGTCGGCGTGGGGGGACGCTCCCAAGCCCCTGTGGGCAGCACGAGGGTGAAATCTGGCCTGCTGGAGGCAGCAAGATTCAAGATGTCACCAAGGCCAAGATTTCCCCCCAAAGCACATGTAACACCTCTCCTGGGTACCAGCTATGTCCTGAGGTTGATCTGCATGCTTAAAACATCCCAACCGTGTTCACGGGCACTTTCTACTACTCTCTGTAGAAACAGCTCTGTCCAGGATTTCTTCTTTGGCAAAAGCATCTCCCCTCCCCGTTTCCCTGGCGTTGGCCGGTTGTGTTATATTCAGGGTTGATGGTCGGGGGTCCGCGCTGACTTAACTTTCTGCATCAGCAATGTTCACCTCTTGGCTTGAGCCCAAGGTGACCTTGGCTGGAGGTGACAGCTTGTGATTGTTGCTCTCCGCCCTTCTCCCCAGATCTCCGCGGGCTGTGGATGTACAAGCTGGAGAGCCGTGTGGGGGCC